ACCCTATATACCCTAAACCCTATATACCCTAAACCCTATATACCATAAGCCCTATATACCCTAAACTCCCCAGCTGTAGTTTCCTTTAGCAAAGAGGTTCTGACAAACATCCGCCAGCCCTCCATGGGACCGACCTTTGGAATCAAGGCGGGGAGCCTTCTGTTTTTGTTGTCTGGGTTCCGCTTCCTGTCAGGTGCCTTTAAGAGTTTGGGGGCGTAGGAATGCTTGGAGTTCAGGGCTTAGGGTCTGAGATTTTGGGGCTTTTCGGTTTCGGTTCTCGAGTTAAGGCATATTGCTAGGAATTCAGGAGCCTTTAAGGACTTCAAGTGGTTTGCATGGGAGATTGAGCTTGGAGGCTTCAGGGCCCTGTTGTGTTTAGGGGTGTATCTAAAGGCTTTCGGGTCTGGCCCTTGAGGAATTTCGGCAGCTTAGGAGCTTTCGCTGATAGTTTTTTTGCGGGTGTTTGGGGGCTCTTTGTGTTCAGGAATTTCTGGGGTCTGTGGGTTTGAGATGTAGGGTTTGGGATTGGGGCTTGCGGGTGGAGTTTAGGGCGTGGGCTAGTGGTTTCTGAGCTTGGCCGATAGACCTCAAAACTCCATACCCTAGATCCTGCAGCCCAATCGCACGGAACACGAAATCAAGCACCCGAAAATCCAAACCCTAAACGCCGTAGATGTCCGCGTGAAGGGAGGCGCTGCTGGGGGCGGCTATGCGCAGTGCTTCCCCATGGAGGACGGGGTAAGCGTGGCTTTTGCATGCCTATGTGTGTCTGTCTCTTGTTTGTCTGTCTCTCTGTCTGTCTGTCTGTATGTATGTATGTACATAACCAGTTAGTTTATGTATGTGACTAATGTATGTATGTCAAGTATGTATGTATGTATGTATGTATGTATGTATGTATGTAAGTAATGCATGTAATTAATGTAGGTAATTAATGTAGGTATGTAATTCATGTATGTATGTATGTAACTAATGTATGTGACTAAAGTATGTATGTATGTATGTATGTATGTATGTACGTATGTACGTATGTACGTATGTACGTACGTACGTACGTACGTACGTATGTATGTATGTATGTATGTATGTATGTATGTACTTCACGTATGTATGTATGTATGTATGTATGTATGTATGTATGTAATCAGTTTATGTATGTATGTATGCATGTGTGTACCTATGCATCTATGTATCTATGTATGCATAATTATGCATATGTCCGTATGTATGTGCAAGCATAAGTATATATATATAGGTATATATATATATATACATATATACACATATATGTATATATGTGTTTGTACATTGCCACAAGGACTATCAGGGGAGATGTGGTTACTAATTATCAACCATAAACCATGAACTCTAACCCTAAACATTGGGATCCGGGACCACATCCGGGCCTCCCATAAGTTAGAGTAGGCATAAGGTGAAGTGACAGTACTTGTCATATTATAGTTTAGAAGGACACCAGCAATGATAAACAGAAGAATCATGGACTTGATATTATTCGAATTAATTATGAAAATGAGCAAACCTTTATGTATATAGATATGCTCTCAGGACTACGAATGCGGTAGCTCATGGGGTTCACCCCAGAGCCCTCTTCGGTCTTCTTTGGTCTTACAGCAGGAGTCAGGATCAAGACCAGATTTGCATGTTGAGACATCGGGGTTTGTGAAGCACGTACACAGATCAACCAGTTAGAACCATCTCTGAACTCTAAACCCTAAACCCGAAAGCCTAAAGAGCACATATTTCAGCCGATATCCTTTGGGAAACTTGTCAGCAGGCCTTCGAGCCCTTTGTCCCCAAACGCGAAACTCTACCTGAACCGACCCAAACCTATTTAAATGTAAGGCCCGCAGAATAGAAGTCTGCATTAGGGCTTATATTGACAACCTGCAAAGCAGTAGTTTAATTAATGTAATCCCCATATAGCCAGACCTAGCTCAAGCAGGACTTCAACCTCCATATGACTGGCGACATCCATGCCATCACCGCCGCGCACAACCTCTTTGCCGCGGCCATTGACACCAGGTACTACCACGAGCTACTGGGCCAAAACACGGGGGTATTCCCGAACTCCAGTAATATCAACGTAGTCTTAGTATTAGTATCCCCATTAAGGTAGCAGTCTTACTAGTCTACTCCGAAATCCCTCAGGACCCCGGTTGCCGGTAGAGACGCGATAGATAAACAAATCTTAGCACGCCTCATGCCCAAACCTTCTAGCGTTTTCCATATGGGGCTTTCCGCATAGGGGGCCCCAACGTAGTACCCTAAATAGTATAGGATCCTTATTATGAGGACCGCAAAAAAGAAGGCACTCTTATTCTCGGAAACCCCCACATAGTACAAGGTTGGGTTTTGTAAGGTTTATATACATGGGTAGTTGTCAAAATTAGGGTCCCTGTTGGGGTACCCTAAATAATAGGTGCCGTATTATAATAAGGACCCACAAAGGGACCATAATTTTGACAACCACCCACATATGAGGTGAGGAGTTGTTAAGGTTTATGTACTGGAAGGTAAGGACATGTAGGGACCGTCGGGGTTACTCTGACCCAAAGCCAAAGCCTGCACAGGAACATCATAGGTAAAAGGGCAACGAAGATGAGCTCTTCTAAACCCTAAAGCCTAAACCCTCCACAGGAACAGCTCATCGGCGAAGTTCATCTGGAATCGTCTTTGCCCTGTTGAGCCTTGGCATTGTAGCTCCACAGGTCCACAGATTTTGGGCATGTTTTTGCGTTTGTTGGCCAGAAAGTAAAAACCCAGAATATACTAGAAGATACTACAACATACTATAATATACAAGGTTCAGCCCTTGAGGCGGCTCCTTAGTACAATTACAGTATAAGATACACTGCAACCCTATTCTAATTATTTTGGCCCCTAGATGAGACGCATAAAAAAAGCTTCATTGGTGAAGCCCCTCCTCCCCGAGGACAAGCACGGCAAGCGCCAGTTCGAACCATCGATGTATGCTCGGCTGGATGCTCATCTCTATTTAGTCGTGGTCATAGGGTTTAGGAGTTTAGGGTTTGGGGTTTGAGGTGTAGGGTTTAGGTGTTTAGGGTTTAGGGGTTTAGGGTTTTGGGGTTTTGGGGTTGGTTATAGGATGGTGAAGAGCAATACAGAGCGGCATGTAATACCCGCACATATGATTACCAATACAATTTTGGCGCTTCCTGATTATACCATGTGCACCAAACCTTATTCTTCTCATTAAGACCGCCCATATATTATACCGAAGATTTACGATGAAGGTGTAAAGTTGCTACATGTGTTGGCAGTGTATACTGCAGTCTCGGTGCTAGCGAGGAAGACTGTCAGACATCATGAAGCATGTGGGGCGGCAATAGTTTCGGTAATGCAGGGGCCTAAATAATTACCAAGAGTATCCCTTAGTGCTCCTTCTTATATATAACTATATAGGAGCCCCAAACCCTATTCTGTTTATTAGGGCCCCTGCATTAAATTGCGTTCGCGCCCTCCGGAACACGGCGTGCTGCAGCCTAAGCCTAAGCGTTGCCATGACCGCCCCAATCTGGAGCCTGGCCATGAAGTAACCCCGAACTTGGAGGTTCATGGGTAGCTCTAAGTAGGGTAACTATAGTTATAACCCATCGTAGGGGACTCATAGCCCCACTTATAACTACCCGTGAACCTCCAAGTATAAGGGTCCAAGTACCTAATAATAATCAGATGGGTAGTTGTCTAAATTAGGGTCCCTTTTAGGTCCCTTTGTTATAAGGGTGCCGTACTGTACTGGGGATGCAAAAAGGGACGCTAATTTAGAGAACTACCCACATACTCTTCTGAATACTAACCTACAAAACTACTATCCGTAACCCAAATTCATGATAATCAGGTCCTTTATGCATCCTTATTTCTACTGGAATATTGCCAGCTGTGATCCTTCATAAAGGCACAGGTACGTATGATAGAGCATAGTTTTCTCTGTGCCGACTTACTTACCTTAAACCCTAAACCCTCTTAGTTCCTGCCGATCCGCCAAGCAACGCCCCTCCAAAGCCGAAGGAGAAGCTGGGCCTGTCCCACAAAAAGCACGTGACTTTTCAGCACATGGGTGGTTGTCAAAATTATGGTCCCTTTGGGGGTACCCTAAATATTAGGTGCCGTATTATATTAGGGGCCCAAAAAGGGACCATAATTTTGACAACCACCCACATGAAAAAGGGGCCCAAATAATTTCCTAGGGTTCCTGGGCCTGCAGTTCGGGGTTCTGCGATTCGGGGCGGAGTCGTCCGGGTGTGTCGAGTCGTCTGCGGCACTTTTCGTCTGCTCGGAAAAGGAGCGGCTCCCTTCGAAAGCATGGGACCAATAATAATAATAACAAGAATAATAATAATAATGTAGGGGCCTAAATCAATTCCACTACTATTTTGGGGGCTCCTCATGATACTTATAGTATAATATCACCCAAAACCCTTCTCTAATTATCAAGGCCCCCAATGTTATGCAAATGCCACAGACCCGGATCCGGAAGGCCTCAGGACCGAAACCTGCTACTACGTGTCGCAATTCTTAACAGTGCGACAGGGTTTAGGCTTTAGGGTTTAGGGTTTAGGGGTTAGGCTTTAGGGTTTAGGTTTTAGGGATCCGTCGCCAGTAGGATGTAACCAGAGCCCAACGCATCCCCGCGCTTCACGTCCTCTGCCCTCCGCTTCCTCGGCGCATGGTTGCATGGTGTGCGTCTAACACTGGACCCGAGACGATTCGAGGGAAGCCTCGAAGCCCATAAACTCTGAGCTCCCTTAAACCCTAAACACTAGACTCCAATACTCTACGTTTCGAGAGTCTGGGCCTCAAAAAAAGGTGTAAGCTCCCAAACAACTCACAACACCGGCGGGATTTCCCCGAGGATCCCGATTTGCTGACAGAGGACACGGTAGGTTCCGGGGATGCTTAAAGTCACGAGAGAGCAGGCCGTAGGCTCGGGGTTGAAACAGGGTTTAGGGTTTAAGGTGTAGGGTTTAGGGTTTAGGGTTCAGGGTTTATGGTTTAGGGTTTAGGGTATTGCTTTTAGGGTTTAGGGTTTGGGAGTCTAGGGATGATGTTTGGATATTTGGACCATGGCATTTTGGGTGGTGTACCATGCTTCGTTTCTGGGAATGTTGCGGGCTGCAGCGAAACACGAGTCACAGAGGCTCCTCCTTGCTTGGGATCCCAGGGTTCGGTGCTCCAGTGGGTTGTTCGTCCCTAAATCCTAAACCCTAAACCCCTAAACCCTAGGTTTCAGAACTTCGCAGTTCCGGCCATGAACTCGTGGTTTTCGACATATCTGCCTCAAGGAAATGAGCAAAAATCAAGTCCCGCAGCATCTCCGGTAAGCTTTTTCAGTAGATATGTATGTGTATATATATATGATAAATATATACACACTTGCTATGAGGATTATGTTGTTGTCATGGATAGATAAATTTGACTGACACGATAAGATAAGAATTAGACAGATAGATAGATAGATATACAACACTTCCCCACATTCGGGTCCACGCATTGAGCCCGAATAGCCCGCGAGACTCCACAGCCTAGGCCTTTGACGGCGTAGCCGTAGTTCCTTCCTGGGATTAGCTCATAGGATCCTTCATGTAAGCCACAGAAAGGAACTACGGTGAAGCCTCTAGGTAGCTGCATAAACCGCTGCCCAAGCTTTCAGAAATGAGCCAGCGGAATTTTTCTGCTGCGAGGAGGAGATTGAAAAGTTCTGCATCTTGGACATCGATCCGGACACGATCACATGGAGGCCGTCGTGCGCAGACAAGCTCGTGAGGTGGAAATGTTTGCGAGAATGATCCCGGCCTTATCAATACAAGCAGGGCTGCGACAATGCCATGGTGATTGTGATGATGAAGGTGTATGGCTGACATATCCCTTGATCCTCCAAGTACTCGATGCTCCAACAGTAAGCACAGTGGTAACATGTACTGAGCTGATAGTAAAAATCTCGTTTTTGAACCGCTGAAGCCCGAGAAATTGAAGTCATGCACCCAATTCTAGAAAAGCAAACGCAGCAAAGAATGGCCATGACCCTGCAACCCTAGCACGAGTGACCCCCGACCCGAAGAGTCGTTGAGAAATGGCTGCGAGTCAGGGGTTGAAAGGGAGCTGGCGAGCTACTCGACTATGGACTTTCAGGGTTCTCTATAGGGTTTAGGGTTTAAGGTTTCGGATTTAGGGTTAGGGGTTTAGGGTTTAGGGTCTGGGGTTTAGGGTTTAGGGTTTTTACCACCCCTAAATACCTCAAGGTTCCTTGCAGCACAGCCCCCATCCAGGCCTGCAGTGCAAGCAGCAAGTCCTTGAACCTCATGTTTGCACGCCCTTAACCTGCACGCCCCGAAGTTCTAATATAGGGGCCGTATTAATTACGTAAACTATTTTTTTGTTGGGGGGGGGTTCCTTATTATAACTATAGTATAATTAGTATAATTAATATATCCCAGAACCCTATTCCAATCAATTAAGGCCCCAAAGTTCTAGAACCCTGAGAACTCATCAAACCCCAAAATCCGAAGTTCCGAGGCGTGTGACCGACTGCAGCACCTTGGCATTGGGCCATCCCAAACCCTCCAAGGGACCTACAGGGACCTACTATACAGGGCCCCAGGGACCTACTATATAGGGCCCCAGGGACCTCGTATAGAGGGCCACAGGGACCTACTCTAGAGGGCCCCAGGGACCTACTATATAGGGCTCTAGTACCCTATATAGTAGGTACCTGGGGGGTTAGGGCATTGTCAAGAAGCAAAAGCCGGGCTCAGGCGCAATTCTGAAAGAACTCGCGTGAGGATTTCGGTGCGGTAGGCCGGCAGGGTAGCTTCGGGTGAGATGCGCCTGTAGAGCGCCCAAGGTGTAGGGTTTGGGGTTGAGGGAAACGGTAGGGTGTTTGGATCCCCAGGAACCCTTAATGGGGTTTAGGGTTCCCTAAAATCTAGGGCTTGGGGTTTAGGGTCTGGTTTAGGTCCGGTGTGACCCAAATCTTGGATTTCCCCTGTAGCTGTCCTTCATTTTTGAGCCTCAATTGACGCTTTGCCAAGTCCTTGCCAGTAGACATTCTACAAACATCTTGCAAACAAGCCAAGTCAGCCTCAAACATCTCCCCAGAACCCTCATACCAAATCGTACCAAGTCGTTCGGGCACGAGTGTCTGAATGCTGTAGAGCTTCGGGTGTGTCTGCTGTAAGCTGTTCTTGCCCTGCCTGCCCAAGGTGATAAGTACTTGAGGAAGGTGGAGATCGGGTTGAACTCGTCCGAATTCTCCAAGAAGAAGGCGAGATGCACATCCTACCACCCCCCAACTATGCCCATCATGGGCCCTTGTCTTCCTCCTGGAGAAGCATCTGGGTTCCCAGAGACGGGGCGGCTTGAAAACTCAAACCTAAAACCCCTAACTCAAAATCCTAAACCCCCCCTCACAAAGTGCTTAAGCCCCAACCCCACCCCCCCTGAGCCTGGAGACAGGGTCCTACACCCCAAACCGTCCCACAACCTCTTCAATCGATAGAAAAGTGTTCCTGAGCATCTCGACGTTAGCTCTGCCCAGAGCAAACGTGTCCGTGAGTCCCACTTGGAGGTTCATGGGTAGTTATAAGTGGGGTTACAAGTAGCGTCACTACAAAAGCCCTTAGTAGGGGACTTATAACCCCACTTATTTATAAGTGCCCACGAACCTCCAAGCAAGTCATAAGAAGATCAGATCAACCAACCATCCAAGCTGCCACGACTTGAGGTTGCTTTGATGCCAGGTGAACATGGGTGAACGTGGGTTTCTTGTGTATTTTCGGAGATAGTGGTAGTAAGACTCCTGATTTCAGTGGCTACCGGTAACTTAGAACTCTGGCCAATGCGGCAGTAGACCTTGTGCCCTGTCAAGGATCAGCATTTGCGTCCCATAAGCATGGCCGTAAAGAGATGTCGGCGCTTTAGCAGTATGGTAATCAACCAGTATGTACGTGTGTCAGTACCTATGTCAGTATGTATGTATGTATGTATGTATGTATGTATGTATGTATGTATGTATGTGTGTATGTGTGTATGCGTATTTATATATATATATATTTATTTATTTATATGTATGTGTGTGTAAGCGGGCTTTAGGGTTTAGGGTTGACTCCTCCCTTTGTAGCTGTCAGCGGGGTGGGCTCTTGCTAAGGAATTTCTATCGTGCAGATTATAGGGCTTCCTTGTTATGGTACTAGTAGCTTCAACTAAGACATTCCTTAAGAATAGAACTCTGGTATATGTGTTCCTTATTATGGCGTGCTAGCAAATTTGAAACTTCATTCTTTAAGAAGAGAATGTGGTGCGACAGTAGGGTGAACTGGACCTGCTCTTCCCGGTGCCTTCGCCTGTACTTCATATCTGTATCATGTAACTGCACATCGGGAAGAGAGGACACTACTTGCGGATAGCAGTTGTTCCCCATGTTCATCTTGCCGCATGCAGGATCTCAGGAGTGCCAAACTCGGTCATAACCTTTCTTGTTATGTGTAGAGTGTGTGAAGTGAGGACCTCACTATGTCGCATGAAAGACACTTCAAGCAGCCCGACACCTGCGAAGCATTAAATTAAAAAACCTAAACCCCTAAACCCTAAACCCCTAAACCCTAAACCCTGAACTCGAAAAGCGAGACCTTGAGACTTGACTGAACCAAACCCCAGGCCCAGGAGCTCCTTCGAGAGCTCTGGAGAGAGCCTTCCGAACTCCCTCCTTGTAGTGAAAATGTAGGAACCTGATTAAGAAACCCTGGCCCTATAACCCCAATATATGAGGGTTCATATTCAGAACACGAATACGCTGTTCGATATACCTGGGGTCGATACTTTGGTTTAAGACACAAGACGAGCTGCAGGGCGAGCAGATGAAGCGGATGGCTTCCTACGGCATCACCGTCAGCTCTGCTGCCCGACCTACTCGAACAAGGGGCTCGTAACTTTTTGGGGAAGTGCAATCTGACATCCCTATGTAGCCTCAGAGGGAAATCATTTAGTTCCCCCCAGAAACTGAGCAAAGTCTGTTGGGGCGCAGCTTGTGGTGCAATGCCTTCCGTGTTTGGCTATTTGGGGTCAGTTGTCGGTGAGTTCACGCACTATATTCGCACGATGTTTTCAGCAGGGTGTCGGGTAAGAGTGTTCGAGCTTGGGGTGCGAGCTTCCAGAAGGAGATTTCGAGCAGATAATCATGCATCAGGAATGGTCGGTTGCTACGAAAGCGAGTGAGACAGGACAGCAGCTCTCATCGTGCCGAGAATCATGCGACTGCCCATCATAACGGGCTTACGAATGCATCCATAGCATGTTCCATAGTGGCCATAAGCCGAGTAACTGACCAGTGCCATTCCATGGGGTTTCCCGTATAAAAATTCAAGCATGATCTAGCCCCAAACCCCAATTCCTAAGCATGACGGCACGTAGTAGCAAGAGAGAGTGGCAGCCGCCGACCTCCAACTTGGAGGTTCATGGGTAGTTATAGGTGGGGTTAGAAGTAGGGTAACTATAGTTATAGCCCATATTAGGGGGACTTAAAACCACCCCACTTATAACTACCCCTAATCCCTAAACCCTATAGAACCCTTTAAAGGAACCCTTAAAGGAGCCCATGGACCTGCAAGTTGAGAGCCTGGGAGTCTTAGAGGGACTTATAACCCCACTTATAACTACCCACTTACAACCTCCAAGGAGATCATGGCCATCCTCGCCTTGGCCACGGATTTGAAGGACCTCCGCACCCGACTGGGGAAAATGATCTGCTGCTACTCCAAGAAGGCCCCATGGGCCCTGGGCGGAAGCTCTCAGGGTCTCTTTTGCTTGGGGGGGAGGGAGGGTCTAGGGTTTAGGGTTTAGGGTTTAGGGTTTAGGGTTTAAGGTTTAGGGTTTAGGATTTAGGGTTTAGGGTTTAGGATTTAGGGTTTAGGGGTGGGTGGGGGAGGGTGGCCCTAAAATCCCTAAGACATGCTGCGGAAGAGACGCAAAACGTATGCAACTGCCACAGCGACAGAGTCGCAACTTATGCTGGAACGCGAAGTAGAGATGGAGATGCAACTATAGTGAGAAGCATAGCAGGGCTCTAGTGACAGTGGTAGCAGGTTTCATGACCAGCACGTTCAGAAGCCTGACCCTGTAAAGCAATCATAAGTGTCACAGGCCTATGCCTGGAAAAGATGACATCGACAACGAACCTTAGGAACTAGGGTTCTGGGGATGTTCAAAATTGAGTGGCTGGGGTGTCGGTCTTTGGGACGTTGGGAGTGTTTAGGGTATTCGCTCGATAAGTTTGGGTTCCTAAGCAGCGGCAAGTTCAAAGCAGTCAGCATCCGCCTGCCTAGAGGCTCTGCATGCCTGTTCGGGCCCTTAATTAGAGCTGAGAAAACATCCACCCCCCTAAGTCAAAGCACCCGTAGGACCGTGTTCCCGAATGCTTCAAGTGCACTTGGAGGTTCATGGGTTGTTATAGATGGGCTTATAAGTAGGGTAACTGTAATTATAACCCATACTAGGGGACCTATAGCCCCACTTATAACTACAAGTGAACCTCCAAGCACTGACATGTTTAACCGGCGCTCGCTTGTCGGCAGGGGGAGCCCATCACAGCAGACGACTTCGGCATTACAGGCTGCAAGAGGGCAGGAATATAGCGGGCTACATAATTACCTATACTATCTTGGGGGTTCCATATCAGAACTATAGTATAATATACCCAAAGACCCCATTCTAATTGTTAAGGCCCCTACATTTGCTCGGTTCGAGGATTGGGGTCTGGGCTCTACAGTGCTGCCACCCGGAACTTTTCAGCCCTCGACCAGACAACAATCTGAAAGCAGGGCGCACATGTGTGAATATCACGATTGTTTAGGGCCGGTGGCCGTACCAGATCCAGAGAGCAAGGAGTACAGTACAGGTAGACAAGACTCTTGCTAACTTGTGAGGCCGGCACAGTAGGCGTTGCTCGGCCCCGCGAAGTAGAAAAGATGAAGTCGTAGCCAGGACCCGGAGTAGCCCATCACAGCGACAATGGCCTCAGTCAGAGCAATCAGTAGTCGTCGTCGTCAGACAAACAGTCGTAGTGCTAGCAATCAAGAGTAATAGCAACAGCGGAGACGGCGACTGGGATGTTACATGGCCTGCTTGACAGTGGACCGCACGCCCCGGAACCCCGCTCTGAACCCTAAGCATTGAACCCTAGGTTCCCAGTGGCTCAAACACCCCATCGATGAAGGAGTAATACTAAACCATGCAAGGATGCCGCTGCATGTCAGGCGACATTGCTTATTTGAGGGGCTTCAGAACCCGTGATAAGATCGGGTATCGCGGGGTGCTCCGGCGGAGTTGGAAGGTGCACTGGCAGTCCTGATGATGGATGCGCTGCCACCGCGCTTCGGCCTGGCCGTTTTAGAGTTGAATTTGTGTGGGGCCTTATAATGGTTTGTACGGTCATGGCCTTGGAACTATAGATCTCTGATTTGTAGACCCCTTTCATTTCCTTTAAGGACCATGCTGGAGCAGTGGCTTCACTAGAGTCACTATAGCCAATATGCTCCAAGGAAGTGGGTCACCGCCACAAGTGGCTTAACCACCGGTGCCTGTTTTTTCACAATCTGAAACATATGGGCAACATTTCGGGATGGCACGACCGGACATCGAAAAGGGGCGCCCCGACATCCAAAAAACTACTCCATATAACATCCAAAGATAACATCCAAAAACGTTTCGTGACATCGAAACCGCAGTCTGGCACGGAAAAAGATTTCATGACATCGGTAAACGAAGGCCGTGTCCGCTGCCGTCCGCCGGCCCGCCTGTCCGTCCGTCGGTAGCAGGCTTAGTTGTAACTTTTAGTTTTCTTGGATGTAACTTCTTTTCTCAGATGTCACTTTTTCCTGCGTCCAGGCTTGCGGCACAGCAGTTGGAAGCAATCTCCGCCCCTAACCTTTGGCCAAAGACGGAAAGCCTAATGGGTAAACCCAGCACGAGGCAAGAAGAATGACGAAAGCCCTAAGGTGTAAACCAAGCACGAAGCTTTTGCGATAGACGAAGGCCCTACCTGCCGGAACCTTTGGCCGAAGACGAACACCCTAAGGACTAAACACCGCAGGATGCTTTGGCGAAAACGAAAACCCTAAGGAGTAAACTTGGCAGGAACCTTTGGCCGACGATGACAACTCCGAGGAGTAAACCCAGCACGACGCTTCTATGAAAGACGAAAACCCTAAGGAGTAAGCCCCGCAGGAACCTTTGGCCGAAGACGAGAACCCTAAGGAGTAAGCCCCGCAGGAACCTTTGGCCGAAGACGAAAACCCTAAGGAGTAAACCCAACACGAACCTTTGGCCGAAGACGAAAAACCTAAGGAGTGGACCCAGCACGAAACTTTTACGACGGACGAAAAACCTTAAGGAGTAAACCCCGCAAGCACCCAAAGACGACCACCCTAGGAAGCAATCCTCGTAATCCTATCCCTCTAATATTAAATGAAATGTATTTTTATAATTAGGGGGCATTCTTATCGCTACTGCCGTTTCTCGGAGATGGATCTGCGTGACCTGGGGTTTAGCATGTCATTCGCCCGCTCCGCGATCGCAGGGCCCAGAGAGCCATACACACACACACACACTCACTCAGACTCTCTCTCACACTCACACTTAGAGATGTACGGTTTTTCAATCAATGCTGAGTAAGGGATGTAGCCAGAGAGATGTAGCCAGTGTCCTCGCAGCCATGGAGCAGTCCAAGGCAGAGCTGCTTGAAACCGAGAGCGAGAGAGAGAGAGAGAGAGAGAGAGAGAGAGAAAAGGAGACAGACAGAAATTGCGAGGGCCTGACACTGGCAGGCAGAGAGGAAGGCAACCCTATTCAGGGAACTGGCAGGGCTCGAGAAGGCAGGTGACAGAAATGAGCCCTTGTAAATTCATCACTCCTGTTCTGCAGGACGAGACAGAGCCTCAGGCAGACAGAGAAGAAGGCCGGACAGGACAAGCAGCTGGAGTTTCCGGCAGTGCCCTGCTCTGCAGGACATGTCAGACAGCCTCCGCGAGAAAGCTCGGACAGAGAAGCAGGCCGTGCAGGACAGCAGCTGGCGTTTCAGGAAGTGAGAGGAGGAAGAGGAAGGAGAAGAGGATGTTGAGGTTGACCCTAACGAAAGGAATCGGTCGACGGTATGCCTTGTCCGCACTGAAAAGCTCGTCTTTGAGCTCTGGTCGATGGCGACGAAGAACATGGCGACAGACTGATCGCCATCAAGAAGCCAGGGTCGAAAAATTCGGCGCTGCCGAAGGAAGTGGCAATGTTTCGAGTCATGGGTGGCGAGGTGGTTCCCACTTCAAGGCGTCGGCCAACCTGTGCATTATCTATGACGGATCTTTGCAAAAGTCGCTGGCCTGAGTTAGGGGCCTTCGTTATTGGCGTTTCAATATCCCTTGCCGCCCTAGGTTGGGGAAAGTGTTCGACGAGCTGCCCGGCGTGGAGATAAACAAGGGGGAAATGGTGAGTGTGAAGCAGGAGCTTTAGTACAGTGCAAGCGTTGGGTAAGAAAACAAGTCAGTGAGCTCAGAGGTCACTCATTTTCCTAGCTTGCTCTTCCATGAGAATTTGGCTCTCAGAAGTCCAGTGCCCACTCATTTTCTTAGTATTTTCTTAGCAAGCATTTGCAGGGAGCAGGAGCTGACACCTCCAACAATCATAAAAAAATCAGTGCTCGTTTTCTTAATCCTCGTGTAGGCTGGATTTGACGCCGCCCCATCCCCCAGGTCCAAATCC